CATTAAAAGAATTCCCAATAAAAAAACAAAAATACGAAAGTGCCATTCGCAAACTCATCGCGAAAATCGGAAAGAGGAAGCACCACATGGACTAAAGGCCAGACGAAGCTCTATTTTGTCAAAAATTTGATTTAAAAAATGCTAAAAGTCAAGCTTTCCTTATTTTTCTTCACCTCTCTAAGTCGGAAAAAAGAAAACGTCACATGGACTAAAGGCCGGGAGATGGCTCTATTTTGTGAAAAATTTGATAAAAAAAATGTTAAAAGTCAAACTCACTCTATCCTTCCTCCCCCCTCCTCCCCCGCCTCCTTTCCCCTTGTTTTCTGCAAGAGACCGCGGCACGTGTTAGGTAGCCCGAACAAAGTAACAAATGGATTAAAAAAAAATTAGCCCCTACAAAAAAAAAACTGTTGATCGCTTCCTCATTCAAAGCTTCCGATAAACTCGTCACACTGCTTAAAAATCGAAAAACCAAAATGCAAAGAAATCGAAGAATCTCTTACCAATGTGTGTGATCCTGTAAAACTTTTAATGGTTCGTTTGTTTTACGCAAATCCCATAGAGCCACTCGGCAATCATCACCACATGTTGCCATAATATGCTGTACATTAGGATTGAAATCTAAATTTCGAACACGTGGTGAATTGGCGCGAACGATACAAAATGCATCCCTAAAAAGCAGAGTAAATTTTGTAAAAAAAAATGAAAATACAAAAAAAAAACCACAGCAAAGCGAAGATTTTCGAAGAAAAAAGCCGAAATTCAGAAAATTTCAGTAAACGAAATTTCAATAAAGCTAGCAATCCCTCCCATGTTTGAAAATCTTTTTATTTAATTTGGGAATTTAATATTTAAGTTTTTATTTAGTCTGAAGGATTTATCTTGAAGACCAAATATTTAAGTTTTATTTGATTTGGAGGATTTAATTTGAAGGTTTAAAATTTAAGTTTTTATTTAGTCTAAAAAATTTATTTCAAAGACTTAATAATTCGAAGACTTGATAAGGCTTAATATTTTGTTTAATTTGAAGACTTAATATAAGATTTAATATTAAAGCCTTAACAGTTGGAAATTGTTGGTGGTACCAAAATCATGATAATACAAGTAAATATAGTTGATGTTAAGATCACAGATAAGAGATCGGTCTAAATACCACATATATCAATGAATATTATCGCTTTAATGTAAAATAAGTACCACGAATGCAAAAATCACCCGCACATTCGAAGGGGGTGTCTTATATTAGTGATGTTACTGAGATGCTTATGAACGCCGGCGCAGCCGTGCCAGGTTCTTCACTCTTGAGCTACATCTCCAAATAAAACAAAAAAAAAAAAAAATAACAATCTACTTGTCTTTTTTTCTTAAATAAAAACTCAATAATTTCTCATTTTTCTGAAAAAAAGCCTGGTAGCCTCTCCCAAGTCCTTTTTTCCTGGCTAAATTAACGAATAAGTGAAAAAACTTGAAACATGAATATTTTCTGATAAAACTGGGGTACTAACTCGAGACTACGAGTGTCAATTCCTTTCACTGAATCATCAAAAGCTACTGCTACTGTATTTCCGTTTGTATGTGGATTCCATGTTAGCGCACTGATCGGAGTCTTGCTCTCCAATGTCAACGATTCTTCCAGCTGTAATGCACACAATTATGCACACATCGGCAAACTATTTTAGATGAGCAAAACTGTGGTAATGGTAAGAAATGTATACGATTTGGTAAAAAAAAAAAATTCAAGCACGCTCTTCACACTCTTTTAATAAAAAAATTTAGCCAATTAGACACTTTTTAGCAAATCTAATCATTTTTTTTTTTCACAGAAAAGTTAAAAAAAAAACCTTCAGTGAGCTTGTTACATCAGCAAAATGTATAGAACGACCAACAGCAATAGCAGCTTTGTTACCACCTGGATGGAATTCAGCTCTGCAATCATGACAGTGGCTAGCGGCGAATATCAGTAAGCAGTAGCCAAAAAAATAAGGGACTACTCGGTGATTCCCAAACGAGGTATGTACGTATATGTCACACACACGTACACATACACACACATACAGACATACACACAGACGTACACGTAGACACCCACACACACATAGTGAGTTCTAATTGAACGTATGCAGCTCAGGAGAGAGACATAGCTGCGTCCGGCGTGTGGGAGCATCTCAGTAACCTCACTGATTTTTATGCCCATCCAACTGGACAAAATTCGTTACCAGCTTAATGGACCGAAACATTTCTTACCTATAACAAATATTTCTTTAGACCCCTTACATATTTTAATATCCTTTTCCTTCCTTTTCTTTGTTTTCTTCTTCTGATATTTTCGTTTTAACCTTTTATAAGATGGATAATAAATTACGGCCGTTAGAAAGCCGGTCCGTAATACCAAAACAAGTGGATGGTCTAAAGAAATAAAAATTTAGAGCGCCCAGAGTTAGAAAGTTAAAACAAAGGGTGGGATAAGTTCGCTGAAAAATTTTTTCAGCTTTTGGTAGGCCGAACAGTAATCTTTAAAGCGCGAACGATACGAAGCATGAAAAATGTGGAACGGCCACATTCCGAAGATGTTAACCTACAGTGGGACTAGTTTAATAAGTTCTGATGGAAAAGATTGCAGTGCTGTTCATGTAGCTCAAAATCGTAAAACATGTTGGAAGGTCTATGTGAAAAGGAATATGTAGGTAACTGTTTGCCTGTGTTTCATCCCTTAGCTGTAAATACAAGCAGTATAAGGTATGGTTAGGGGCGAGAATGAAAAAATAACTGATGCAAAAAACAAGAAAAAATTTTAAAACTTACGAAACACATGTTCCAGCTTTAGGAGGTGCCGTATAGACTGCGAGCTCAGCAAGATTCGATTCATCACTATTCAATTTCCAGAGGCCAACACCAGTACGAAGCGTGCCATCCCCGAAAAAAAAAAAGAGAGAGAACATTCTAGTATTAAAAGCAAGAACAATGAGTGTGTTATGGGGCTATTTTCTGTTTGTTAGTGGACATTGGCGGATTCGGGGGAGCGGGGAGGGGTGGGGGGAGGCGATGGGTGCTTCGTAGCAGTTGTTCTACTGCAACTGAATCAAAATAGGCCCTCAAAACCCGAAAAATGAATAAGCACGATAATCCTGCTAAAGGATTTTTGGACTTAGTTATTATTTGTTTGATACATTTTTTTTTTTTTCTCTTTGATACCTCCCTGTCACCC